GTCCGCGTGGGGGGGGGGGGGGGGTTTAGCCAATTCCCAGGTCACTAAATGATGCTTCTGTTTTCATTAAATACCAGATGCGAAGTGGGCCTCCTAAAGAGACTCAGCAAGGAGCGTTTACAAATGAAAGAGAAGATACTCAAACATTTGTGTGAAAAAGTGAGCAAAGAATCAGCCAGGCATGTAACAGAGCACCAATATAAGGGAGTGCTTGGCAATGTGAAAATGCAGTTGGGAAACACATCATAACACAAGGGTAAACTCATAATAGAAAACTCTTAAGCCTGAATTCCATTTTCAATGTCAATCTGCAGAAATGATTACATATAATAGTTACTGAATAATAATTAATTTGTATCCTCTTAATGTACGTTCACAGAGTGCATTAGAAATGTTTCTGTTGATTGACAGATATAGCATAAAGAAATACATTTTCCATTCGGTACTATTCCTGGCAGATATTTTATAGGAAAAAGTCTTAGAAATCCTTTTTACCTCCTAAGGTAAAATATTTAAGTGGAATAGACAGGCAGACTTTTGGAAGGAGAGAAACTTCCTTTCTTGAAAGAGCTGCTCTTAAAATCCTAGCCTGCTTTCAGACACACAGAGCAAATGCTAACCAGACCTGATTTATCTGTAAATTATCTTTGTCCTCTGGAAACTAAATATGCCTTAGAGACATTAACTTTCTCTCCATTTAGTGGTCATCAACTTCATTTGAAAATAGAATGATCATCAGCCTTTAGTTATGGAGAATACCATCATTATTCTTTCATGCCCAGTTACTCAGTGTAGTCCCAGGACCAGTAGCATGGGCATCACCTAGGAGCTTGTTAAAACTGCAAAATCTCACGTCCCATCCCCTGCTGAATCAGCATCTACATTTCTTTTTTCTCCCCCCCTACAAGGCGCATATGCTTGCTGGAGAGACAGAGAGAGAGAGAGAGACAGAAAGCAATTACCCCCTGAGTGGGGGGATGGCCATGCTGCAAAATCTTTTTCATTCTCCTCTCAAGATTTTGAGCAAGCACACACATGTGCTGGGCACAAGGTTCAAGCCGCCAGGTCCAGGACTTGAACCATGGTCGACTATATGGAAATCTAGCACGTTAACTATTATGTCACCTCCTGCCCCCCGCCCCCCAGTGTCCACCTTTTAACAAGACTTCCAGTGATTGAGAAGCAGTACTCTAATGGATGCATCCCAGAAGCAAGTCAGAAAACCCAAGTTTAAGCCTCAGACTTAAGATTTATAAGATGTTTAAGAGTGGGAAAGAAAGCTTTCTTTTTCCCTTAGTTTCCTCAACTATACACGGGAAGTCATACTACACAATTTACTTATATCCATACCCACCAAAGACGATTCTTTTAGGATCAAATAAAATGATGGATGCTAAAGCTCTTTGTAAATTATAAAGCACTGTTCAAATCCAAAGCACTACTGTTAATAATAAATAGAGCTTAATTACACCTATCCATGTTTGAGCTCTCACAGACCATCAGAGGCATGTAATTAGATTATACTACATGATTAAGATAAAAGGTTTCTTCATGTGTCACAAACCTTTCAAGCCCCTAATCACATTGTAGCTAAATCTGCTATCATTAAAAACAAAATGCCAAGTGGGTCTCCTAAAAAGCCTCTATCTGTATCATTGCTACTATCTTGTCCTAAACACTCGATTGATTCTTACAATTTATTCTTTTTCTGACTTTACTATAATTTCCAAGATAACTAATTGGTTTAACCCACTGTCCCACCTACGAACTATGGATGCCCAAGAACTGTGCTGCATCTATAAAAAGCTGTGTTTGCTCAAGTGCTTGGCTTTTCTGGCCCTTCTAGCAGTGGTCCCTTCTCCAAAGCACAGAGCATGGCTGTAACGCTGTGGTTCACATGCTATGCTTTATGCTAAGGGAAGAAGCCAGCACCCTTGGCTTCTCCCTAAGCGTCCCTTATTTTAGATCATGAATCTTAAAAATGAGAAGTAAGCTACATCCACAGTACCCAAAGGTTAATTACAGTTTTCTCTTATATATGAAATGAGAGCTGACAAGCTTCTTATAACCTGGCTTTGTTATCCAAATTGGCTGGCTTTAAAAATGAAAATCTAGTGAATCAACTTTTCCTGAGATTCAGTTTCTATCAAAACTGGGAAACCAATTAACCCATCAAATGCTATTCCTCTTAGCACTGTAGCTGGGACCTTGATCTGACTTCCCAGCTGCTTCAGCCCAGAGAAAGCCCCTCTCTCCTGAGTCAGATGTGCAGTGCCTGTCCCCACTGTCACCACACATGCCACTGAGAACCTTACTTAGAATTCAGACTCCATGCAGGGGACAGAAAAGGGTTAAACATGCAACTGTGCAGCAACACTTCAGACACAGTTTATCTTTAAAAAAAATATATCTGCCCAGCACAAGAACAATCCCCAAGTCAGCCCAAGAGCAGAGAATTAGTACTATCAGGTGATCAGAAACAAAACCAAGGCAAACTCCCACCAAATTCAATATTCAGAATAATTATCTTTAAGAGAACCACCACTGTTCCAAATTCAAAAACAATGATCAAAAGGCAAAGGCTACCGGGAACGTTCTCATGATTTTTTTAACAAGAACTTGGTTGTGTTAAAAGATTTGACTCTTAGGATACAAAAGGCACAAAATAGTACCTCTGTGGACAGTTTTTCAGACTAAAGCTACTGGGAGATTTAAGTTCATCCTCCATTAAGGAAATGAAAGAAAAAAGTGTGTGGTATCCCTAAGAGCTAAATAAGCAACTTGGGCAGGTGCTGTAAGAGGGAAGATATGGGTGCAAGCTGCCCTTCTCTTAACAGCTAGCAAGCGGACTCAGGATGGACTCCTACCAGTCTCTGCTGCTCCAAGAGAAGATCTGCTTCCTCCTTCTCTTTTTTATATAGGATCTCCATTTCCTGTAGCCTAGGGAAAAAAAAAAAAAAATTGTGACGTCACTGAGCAGTTTCGTAAACACTATATATTAAAGGGAAGGAAAGTCTCGTGCATGTTACCTTTTCTCCATTTCCTGCTTCATATCAATTCCCTGTTTTTCCAGAAGTTCTCTCTGGGCAAACGTCCAGTCCACAGGCTCAGAGGGGGTCTCAGCAGAAGGAGTCTTCTCTCGCTCAGCCCGTGCTTGCTCCGGGTGGTTAAAACGAAAAACATGGTTTTTACCCATGATGATACGGTTTCCTAGCACAAAACAGAAATGGGGTAAGAAATCATTTTTTTTCCTTTTTTTGGTTTTATTTTTTAATTGTCAGAGAATATGTGCACTCACCAGAGGTGGGGGGGGAGACAGAAAAAGAAAAGGAGAGGGATAAAGTAACCCATAGTGTGGAAGGCCACATACTAGATCTTACACATGAACAATGGTTTGTCCATTTTGTTCCCTTACCCTAACATGGCTGTCTGCTTCTGTAAACCTGCTTGCTCTTCCCATGGGAAAATAGCTTGTGCTAGCCATATAGAAAACCATATCCAGGACGACATCCTGTACCTGCTACTGTCTTTGCTAATTAGCCCGAAATCTTTTTGTTTAGCAATGTAACTGCTTGCATGGAAACCCACTCCCCTCAGAAATAATTAACCTGCTTGATTCAGCTTCTATTACTGTTTGCATAGAAACCCCTGGTAACTGACCCCCTATAAAAAGACTACTCAAACTTCGGTCGGGGCTACAGTTCTGACTTTCAGCCCCTAAGCCTCAGGCTGTAGTTGCTTGTCAGCTAATAAAACATTCCCTTTAACCTTAATCTGGCTTTGGTGGTCGTTTATTCAGTTGCACTCTACAACAATAGTACCATCCTTTCAATTCCATTTCTCTATTGTCAGAATTTTAGACATGTACACACCCATATCCAGTATGTTTTTTTTTTTTTTTGGAGAGATTTTTGCTATAGGGCGCGTGCGCTCGCCAGACAGACAGAGAGAGAGAGAGAAACAGAAAGTGAGAAATCACCCCCCAGAGGGGATGGCCACGTCACAATCCCTTCTCCTCCATTCTCCTCTCAGGATCTTGGGCATGCACGCACACGTGCCTGGCGTGAGTTTAAGCCACCGGGTACGGGATGCAAATCATAGTCGACTACGTGGGAGTCCAGCAACATAGCCATTATGCTAACTGCTGGTCCCACATATCCAATATGTTTTTTAAGCTTCCAGGGTCAAGATTCAAAATGAGATTGCTTATGTGGGCTATAGCTCCTTAATCATTAGGCTATGGGACTGGTCCAGGAATCTTTTTTTTTTCTAGAGGTTTTGGCCTTAGGGTATGTGGGAGAGAGAGAGAGAGAAAGACAGAGACAGTGAGAAGGAAAGGGAGAAATCATCCCTTGGGAGGGGATGACCACGCTGCAACCACTTCTCTATTCTCGAACCATGAAATTGGCCATGTGGGATCCAGAGCCTTAATCCCGACATCACCTGCTGGTTGCAGGAATCACTTTTAAAATGTACAGTATTTGGTTTAATAACTTTGCTCTTCATAATACAAAAAGATAGCTTTTTGAGGCTTTTAAGAACATCAATCCTAAAGATGACTCACTTCAACCTTTAAACAGAGAGGTGAAAATTAAAGTTGCCCACACACACCACGTGAGCACTGCTGAAGACTTCAAACCTCTCCCAGTCTCACCTGAGCGCAGCTGAACAGGCTGGGCCACCCTTTTGCCATTTACGTAGGTTTCTGAGCGCTCACAGGGCTCTAGAGTCACGATAACTAAGAGGAACACAAACCAATGTTATCATCACAAAGCAGTGGAATCCAATAACAGAAAGCAGCTGGCTACCAAGATTTATGATAATTAAAAACAGATTACTACTATCAGCAAAGTGGCTAAAGTGCCTATACAGCAATTTGTTTAAGGGCAACTAAAACCAGTTGTGATATAAGAAGCTATTTGGAGCTGTGGGTAGTATAAAAATATTTAACTGAATTTGATTAATCTCAGAAGAAAAAGACAGGAAATATTCATTTCAATGATTGTCTAATAGTTCAGTTAATAAAACTGAAAACCTTCAGAAATACTGAGTTTAAAACATAGGTAATAACCAGAAACTGATGATTAAAGGGTAGTATTCTGATTAAGGAGCAAATCACACAATACAAAATTACCCATTTGTTGTTGTTGTTAATAACCCAGGCAAAAACCAAGATTGGCCTTTTCTTTCCTCTTAGGTAAAAATAAATTCTACCAGGCTAAGACTTGAGGTCCTTCGAATCTATTACCCAGGATATTCTTTTCTAACTTTTCATCAAATGATTAACATTCAAGACCAAGCCTAATTGCCTATGTTCTGCTCAGTTCTTGGCAGTAACAGAAGGGCTCCTTTTGTCCAGGCTATTTTCATGTAAAGTAGCTATGTCCATCCCGGCATTTGTAAGCGGCCCAGGTTTCTCCATTTTTCAATATTAGATTGTACAAGAAAGTATCACTGACAGAAAGAGGGAATACCCAGGGTTAAGGTTTTCTCATAATACAGAATGAAAAAGTTGTCAGAGCAGCTCAAGCCAGGAATGCTCACCTTCCCCACTGTTGCTTCTCTCACTCCGGAAGACACAATGCTCTTCTTTAATGTGAGCCCCACTCAGCACTATGTCCTGGCGCCGCTCAGCATCTGCTTGGCCAACCCTGAACACGAGAGAAAGTTTCCCAGGGAAATTCAGACACAAAAAGCACTACAAACAATGAACCTCTTTCTCTCAAAGAATATCCTTTGGTATGCACAAAAAGGTAAGGTCTTTTTGTATCAGAAGCTTTCAATTGCAAATTCTATTCTCATACATGGTCAATCTCCCTACATCAAACTACACTTTTTAATGAATTCATGTAAGTTGGAAAAAAAATTTATGTAAGGTCTTTTAGAAAATAAACTACATGGTAATTGGTTCTGCTAGCTAAAACACACAATTTGGAAAGAGTAAATAGGATAGTTCTTAACTATTTCAGATAAGAACAGCAGCAAATCATTACTATAAATTTTTCAACACTTTCCCTTTATTCAATCATCTCAGAGAAAAAGAATACATTAAGTGACCAAAACAAGAAACAAATATACCTTGTAATTCCATCCTTGATGTAATAAAGCAGGCATTCTGACATTAGTGGGTCTTCATTGAGGTTAACAAGATGTGGGGTCTGAAAGAAGGTTACAGATGATCAATTTGGGGCAACCCCACCATGAGAGGCTGCCGCAACAAACGGCCTAGGAAGCTGTGCATCTGCAATTCCCCACAATGCCTGAAGACAGACTTTTGCAAGTCCCTCACAATAAAGAGAAAGCACTCTTTAGGCTTCTCCAGTTCCTTCTATTTTACAAACCTATGTTCCGAGATAGAGAACAAGACCCAATATTTGATAAGATCAAAGCACAAAGGAAAAAATTAGAATAGGCTGATTCTCTGGATGAGTTAATTATAATTTTTATAAATATCTTGACAAAAATCTCAAGAAAAATTAAACTTTTAATTTACTTATATATTATAATGTCCCCACACCCCAGGCCATTTCCCTCTATAATTTTCATCAGTTCTTCCTGGGTCCCAGTTATTCTCTTTAGATTATTAGTCTTTTACCTTAAGGAAAAAACTAAAATTACTGACATTCAATAATATAAACATCTTCTAAAAATCCTCTTCATCTAACCCTAATATTTCCAAAATCTTTTTAAAAACCAACCTTCTTTGGTGAAAATACCCCACTGGGATCCAAAAATAAGTCACATGGTCTTGGGGCCAAAATCTACTCAAGATTGTGCCAGCAAATGTGGAAAAATGAAAGAAGAGTCAGATGAGGGGATTGAGAAAAGAAATAGCAAAAGATGGTTAAAAAGAAATTAGAAAAACGGCTACATTTTCTCAACTAGCATCTACCTTTATATTTTAATAACTTGGTTTGAGAAAGCTCTTTTCTGTTTGAGAAAAGCAAAGCCCTCTGTGTGGGCAGAGATTCTTAAAGTCCATCATGATAGGGGCCTATGTAAAAAGAAAAACTCATCAACAGGTTCTAAAATTGAGTTTGGATGTGGCCGTTGGCATATTGCTTTCTTTCCTGAGGAAGTCTAGAAGATTAAGCAAGATGAGTTAAATCAAAGTAAGAATAAGGGCCCAGCTGCAGTGGCACATAGAGCTAAGAAGTTATGCCCCACATGGGAGGGCTGGGTTCAATCCCTAGTCCAACCTTAAGACCAGGAGTGTGCCTGTAATCCCAGAGACTGGAGGAAGCTGAGGAAGGAGGATGGCAAGCTCAAGAATGGCCTGGGTAACAAAGTAAGACCCTGTCAAACAAACAAACAAAAAAGAACCAGTGCCCAGCTACAGGAGTACAGGTGCTAGAGTTATGCTGCAAGAGGCCGGAGCAGAATAAGACTGCAATGGCAAGACCCTGTGAAAAACACTGAATTCTTTCTTGTTTTCCTCTTCTTATATGCATACATACTTTCTCTTTCTCATAAAAGTAAAATAAATAGATAGCAAGCACCTATAGTCCAAGCTGGGAGGCTGATGCAGGGGAATCATAATCAAGATCCTTGTCATTAAAAAACACCAAAACAAACAAACAAAAAAGGTAAGGCCAAACCCCATGGACTAGACTAATTATTAAGGGAACTGGATACCACATGGTCAACTGCAGTTCAAATCCTGGCTCTAGCAGCTTTAACAACATGCTATATAGTATGTGTGCATGGCCCAAATCCCCAGAGAATGGAGCAGTGGAGAATTAGGGGGTGTTTTCTCCCTTCCTCATTTCTCTCTGGCTAGTGCACACTAGCAACTAAAAAATAAAAAGTAAGGAAAAGCTTTAGGATCTTTTGAAATTCTGTGCTTTTTATATCATAATATGAATTAAAATGATAATTTGTGTTAAATGTCAGATTTTTATAAACCATAATATAAGTTTGCTTCAGAGGTTTGTTAAAAGAATTATTTTATTTAAATCTATTTATTTATTTTAATTTGACCAGAGAGGGAGGGCATGAGAGTGCAAGAGAGGGAAAGGAAGAAAGCAAGCAGCCAGGTCGGGGACTCGAACCATGGTCAGCCATGTGGGAGTCCAGCACCTTTAACCACCATGCCACCTGCTAGTCCTGTGTTTTGTTTTTATTTGTTTGTTTGTTTGTTTTTAAGATAAGAGTCTTGCTATGTTATGATCCTCGTGCCCCAGCCTCTCAAGGAGCAGAGACTAAAGGTGCATACCACCATGTCTGGCTTTTTTTTTCTTTTCTTTTCTTTCTTTTTTTTTTTTTTTTGTTTGTTTTTAAAGATGTTTGCCAGAGGGTGTGTGCACTTGCTGGAGAAACACAGAAAGAAAAGGAAAGGGAGAAATCACCCCCCAGGGGGGATGGCCAAACCACAATCCCTTCTCCTCCATTATCCTCTTGAGATTTTGGGCATGCAAGAATATGGGCCTGGCAAGTTTTTAGAAGTCATCAGGTTTAGAACTCAAACCACACAGTTGGCCATGTGGGATCCAGCACTAAACCACCATGCCACCTGCTATCCCCACCATCTCTGGCTTTTTAGAGGGGGCCAGGAATTAAACCCAAGTCTGCCGTGTAGCCAAGAAGAATGTCAACCAGCACATGCCAATGCAGCTGGGACCCCACAGTTTTTAATACTGAAAGGTGTTATGAAATACCTTTAGGTGTATATAAAAGGCACAATTTAAATTCTATCAGAACTACAACTATTAAAATCTCTATAATCACAGTAATATGAATATATATATATATGTATGTTTGACTGAAGGAAAAACTATTATGACACTAATCTTTCAAAATATAAACATATAAAATACTTCTTGTTCTAGTTCCATAACATATAAATCAATCTTTTCTACTGAGAATAATACATTGGAATTTGTAAAGAAGTCATGTGACAACAGAAAAATCTAACCAGAGGAGTCCTAGCAACAACCCCAGGAATATTTCATAATACATAAAACAAATGCACCAATTCAAAACTCCCTACCCCTATTAGCCTAACCTAAAGAGATCATGACATCAAAACCGATGCATGAAGATGTTTAAGTCTCTGAGGGCCAATCTGCAGTCATTGAAATGAAGGGCCATTTAGTGGAATGAGAAATACATGTTCTGTACATCGATATATGTTATGTTGTTGTCGTATAAATGAGTACACAAATCATTTGATAATAGTTTTGCAATATCCAATAGCTACATAGCAACCTAGTAAAAAAACAAAACCCTTACTATTCTAATTAGCTAAAAGCCACCTAACTACTTTACAGCTATGATTATGTAAGTAGGAAGGTTACTACGGAGTCATTTTTTAAAAACAAACTGAGAAGGGAGCAGAGGCATCTATAAGGGTAAGGACGGGAATTACTTTACTTGGTATGGCTGTCTATAATACACACTGTAGAAGCAAATGGAAGCGGTATTTTCTACACAAACCTGAACAGCTGAAATTGGTTCCAAAAAGTTATAAAGCTGGGTTGGTGACTTCTGTGGGAAAATATACACAGAAAAAGTAGCCAAAACTGAAGCAAAGTATGATAGGTTAGGTTGAGAATTTAAGAGAAAGCAACAATGAAGATGACTAAACATACTGAGCCATGGCCAGAAATTAGATTTACTGCCTCAGGTTTTTTCCTTCGTAAACAGTAAAAATAATAGGCTTTTTAGAAATAGTTTGTCTTTGTACTGAAAGACTATACTGTAAGATTAAACCAGAAATATCTGAAATTAAGTCAAGTATCAACATAAAAGAAACAAAGAAGAGTGGAAAGGCCAGCCCTGAAAGAGATGAAGTGCCCCGTCACTAAGACAGATAGAAAGTGTTTATGTTTGGTTGAGTTTCACAACATGGTTTCCTACCTTTTTAGGTGAGAAAACTCCCAGGGTTCCTCCATCTTCTCGAATGGCAACTCCCATCTCAGCCAACAAGGCCTCTCTAGAAAAAAAAAGCATATCAAAATACCAATACCAAAATGCCAATTAAGTCAATCTAATATGAATTGAAAAATAAAACAAAACAAATTGGCCATATTTAAAGTCAGTAATGCAAATGTGAAATAATGTGCTTATCTCATAATTAATGAGAAATTATTTTTAAGAAAAACAGCACATTTGAAATGAATTAAATTATGTTCCTATGCTAAAGTTATATTCACCCACATAAAAACTTTGTTCTCATCTGATTGGGAAAAAGATACTAATTCATAAGTAACATGTCTTATAATATAAAAAAGGGAGTTTTCTTAAGGCTATATAACCAACTCAGCTATTTCTTCAGAATCTAAGAATGCAATCGGAAAGTAACTTTGGCATATGGAATATAATTTATAAATGTGATTTTTCCTAACTGTTACGTTCCCATGTCTGCCAACATTTTGATGCAATAATTATAGCTTAAAATCTTCATAATAAATAAGAAAAGTCTATTACATTTACTGTATCAGTACATTCATTAGAACTCATCTCTGCCTCAACTTCCATGAAGGGAGAAGGCAGGACTATCATTTCTTAAAATGTATGTTTATTTTTTTAAAAATTTATTTATTTATTATCATAATTTTGTTTATATTACATTGAATCACATATAACTTTACAGTGTATTACATTTCTTTTAACAGAAGGAAAATGTATGTTTATTTCAACAGTGATACCTTTACTGGTGTGTGTGTGTGTGTGTGTGCGCGCCTGTGTGTGTGCGCACGTGCAACTCGCACGCGCAACTCGTTGTGTTATGCTTACCCTCAGGGGAAAGAGCTGATAAGAGAAGTTAAGATTTAACAGGAGTTTCAAAGTCTACAACCCAAACTACTCTCTTACCAGACAGACTGTGGAGAGGGTAACTGTGAAAGACAATAATTAGAATAGCTACTTGGATTTGGGCCTTTATCAAGGGCAGTCTACTCTTCACAAATAAAGCACTCTATCCTTCAATATGTTCCATTTCTTTAACGAATCCCTAGCAGCATGTAATATGGTACTATGACTTTCTAGAGAACATTTATATATGTAAATTTGATCAATCAAAGTGTAAATTCAACTGGCCTACGTCCCCAGCCAGGTATATTTTTTGAGCACATGTTTTAGGAAGGGAGGTTCTTTTTTTAAAACTTCTATTTCATCTTTTCTTACTATAAACCTAATCCAAAGTCCCTTGGGAAGTTAGAGACATTCCCAGATTTTAACTGACTGACCTCTCCATTCTGATGGCCTCTGTTTTGCGGAGCTTCTCCTCCCAGGTTTCATTCAACTCAGCAATTATCTTCTCTGATTCCTAAGGAAGGAAATGCAGTTAAAGTGACAAAGTCTTACAATTTAACACACCATGTCTATGAAAGACATGTGGATCAGAGGGTAAGAGTCTGAAACTAATGTGAAGAGGTTTTCTTTTTCAATATGTAAGGTAATAATCATAAAGATTAAGCTGAAAACAAAATCAGTCTCATATGTATACATCACCCTAGTTCTAATAAAAATACCTTAATAGTGAGAAAGCGCACACTAGAGAGAGAGAGTGTGTGTGTATGGAGGAGGAGGAAGAGGAGGAAGAAGGGTAATTCCCAAATGCAAAACACATTTTTTGACAGACAAGCACTTCTATGAAAGAATGAAGTCTCCAACGGAATTCACTGCTTTTGTTTCACTACAATTTCACCATAACACAACACTCACCTGAACACATTTATATTACATTGAATCACATATAACTTTACAGTGTATTACATTTCTTTTAACAGAAGGAAAATGTATGTTTATTTCAACAGTGATACCTTTACTGGTGTGTGTGTGTGTGTGTGTGCGCGCCTGTGTGTGTGCGCACGTGCAACTCGCACGCGCAACTCGTTGTGTTATGCTTACCCTCAGGGGAAAGAGCTGATAAGAGAAGTTAAGATTTAACAGGAGTTTCAAAGTCTACAACCCAAACTACTCTCTTACCAGACAGACTGTGGAGAGGGTAACTGTGAAAGACAATAATTAGAATAGCTACTTGGATTTGGGCCTTTATCAAGGGCAGTCTACTCTTCACAAATAAAGCACTCTATCCTTCAATATGTTCCATTTCTTTAACGAATCCCTAGCAGCATGTAATATGGTACTATGACTTTCTAGAGAACATTTATATATGTAAATTTGATCAATCAAAGTGTAAATTCAACTGGCCTACGTCCCCAGCCAGGTATATTTTTTGAGCACATGTTTTAGGAAGGGAGGTTCTTTTTTTAAAACTTCTATTTCATCTTTTCTTACTATAAACCTAATCCAAAGTCCCTTGGGAAGTTAGAGACATTCCCAGATTTTAACTGACTGACCTCTCCATTCTGATGGCCTCTGTTTTGCGGAGCTTCTCCTCCCAGGTTTCATTCAACTCAGCAATTATCTTCTCTGATTCCTAAGGAAGGAAATGCAGTTAAAGTGACAAAGTCTTACAATTTAACACACCATGTCTATGAAAGACATGTGGATCAGAGGGTAAGAGTCTGAAACTAATGTGAAGAGGTTTTCTTTTTCAATATGTAAGGTAATAATCATAAAGATTAAGCTGAAAACAAAATCAGTCTCATATGTATACATCACCCTAGTTCTAATAAAAATACCTTAATAGTGAGAAAGCGCACACTAGAGAGAGAGAGTGTGTGTGTATGGAGGAGGAGGAAGAGGAGGAAGAAGGGTAATTCCCAAATGCAAAACACATTTTTTGACAGACAAGCACTTCTATGAAAGAATGAAGTCTCCAACGGAATTCACTGCTTTTGTTTCACTACAATTTCACCATAACACAACACTCACCTGAACACAACCCGATAGCCAATATACAAAGGTTTAATATTAAATCTCACCTGACGGCACACAGCCACTGAATTGAAAACTGACTAATCATTGCTAATGTAAGAACTATGGGACCAACACGTGACCAACAATGGTTCGAGGCCCGGATCTGGTGGCTCACTTTCTTTCTCTCTCTACGTCTCCCTCAGATCAAATGAAAACAAATGATGAATAAATAAAATTAAATAAAATGATTTTAAAAATAAAGAACTAAAACATGTTTCCCGCTCTCAAGAAGCTTACTATATACTATGGAGAGAGAGAAGTAACTGATGATTTATTAACTCAATAATTACATAAAACCCATTAGATATCAAGTCCTGTTATAGATAACTAGGAATAGGGCAAGGAATGAAATCCCTGCCTTCCTGAGACTTACATTCTATACAATAAGGAGACCAACTTAGTCATTTTAATCGATAAATACATAGTATGCCGGACAGTTGTACTTTTGAAAAAAATAAAGAAAGGAAGAGAAAGAATTGAGGGGAAAGGGAAAAAGCAATTAGAAGAAAGTTTGTCAGGACAGGCCTCATTGAACAGGTTAGAGCAGACACAAAGGAAGAAAGAAGTGGTCCTGTGGGTACGTGAGGGATAGGCAGGGAGTTCTGCAGAGACAATCACGTGGCTAGCGCAATACGTTAAGTCAGAGTGTGACTTAAAATTGAAGGCAATGACATATTATTCTCTTTTAGCAGAGGTGTGTGGAGAGATCAAAATGTTTACAATGGGGTAACATACACGGCTTACACGTATAGAAACAGGGTATTCAATGAATGAAGCAGCAACTGTACCTTATGTAAAATAGCATCCTATGAACTGATATTTCTTAAAGAATTATTTACTTAATTTATTATGTAATTTAATTATTTATCTATTTTTAATTTAACCAGAAGAAAAGAGAGGGAAAACAAGAAAGCAAGCTGCCAGGTCCAGGGCTCGAACCATGGTCAGCCACCTACGAGTTCAGCATCTTAACCACCACACCACCTGCCGATCCCTCAACTGATATTTTTTTCATTCAAAAATAAAGGGAAACAAAGGGAAATAAAATGTTAAGAAAATGAATGAACCTCCATACTGCAGTTTTCCATTACTGTATTTCTCTCCCGCAATGTCATGCCTTAGGAACATGGCTCCTCTTGGCATTCGAAAGTATCTCTATTGTGCAACCACTGCCCAGAACTGTGGATGCAAGATGTTATCTGCCTGCATTGAAATGCAGGTCTGCCCGAATGGAATTCTCACCATTCACAAAATAACAGCAGAACTAAGGCGTTTATGCTTCAGTGAACTACTGCCATGTATTAAAAACTCGAGAATGAACTAAAAATGGTAAAGAAGCTATTTTCTCTCTAGAATCAAACTAGGGATATGGAAACTTTCATTTATGTTGGCTTAAAGAACAATTTAAACAGAGGAATTTATTTTCTGATTCAAGTAATTCAGTTTTGTTTTGTTTCATGTGGTGGGAAGGAGGCCATTGGGGGAGAGCTCCCTGAATAATGACACCATTATTCCCTTGAAACGATTTGGAAGACACTGGGTGACCTAATTCTTAGAGAGTCTGGTTAACGTCTTGACTCCTAACATTCAGCATTTTCAGTTGGTCCTACTTGGCAGTTAGGGAGAAATGTCTCCTTTGACAACAAGAAGAATGTCAAAGGAAAGGGTAATCTCCTCGTACTAGGCTTTAACAAGTAAATAATAAGATTTGAAATCCCCAAAGAAAAAGATTTTATATTAAATATTCAGCAAGTGGGAGGTTTCACTTCTCTTTCCCAGAGAGCCCCATATTTCCCACCCTGGCTCTGAGTGGAGTCCTGCATAGTAACATAGTCACTGATGCCTGTCATGAAAAAAATGCATAAATGAAGTCATCAGAAAGATCTCTAGTAAAACTTCAAAGTCAATTTTACCAACAGCAGAAATTACCTGCAGATTGCAATATTTAATAAAAAAGATTTCACACTCCCTTCTCCTTTGCCAGGTATTTTAGAACTTCACCCACCTTCTCCTAACATGCTCTGAAGAAACAAGGTCATTATTTCTGTTTCTGAAGCACCTTATTTTGAACTGAGTAAAATGTCAAGGGAAAAAGTAGGCTGATTAGGAAAGAAGCCCATTCTTCACATAAAATCTTTTTTAGCCTCATCTGAAAACTGGAAGTATCTGACATCTTCAATTACCAAGTTTAATTCACTATTAGCAATGAAGAGGTTCAGGAAGCCTTTCAATTGTTAGTCAAAGTGGGTCCCTGTTCTCTGTTATCCTTGAATAAGCAGCAGTCCTGGGGAACACTGAATGAACATGAAGGGGGCCTGCTGGCTGGCAGTACAACTGATCTTGAGTTTCTTTGTCCTCCTTGTTTCCCCTAGCCTGGTACCTAGCACTCTTCAATACAAAGGCCGAAAAGGTATAGATCAAACTATCTTCCTGGAGGTGACAAGCAGGATAAGAAAACATATTTGTGTCAACAGCAGAAGGTGCTATCACAGACATCTGAGAGAGGGCAGGATTCCTACGCAGCTTGTCTTCGCACCTCAGGTGACAACTGCCTGTCCTCACTGGAATCACCGAGAAGAGAAAACAGCTAAGAGAAGGCTTAGTTGCTCCTAACTTTCATATTCATGAGAGAGACAAGGCAGAACCTGCAAGCCTAGAATGGGCTGGAAAAACCTCCAGCAGCAAATCTGGATGCCCTGGGCAGATGAGCTGCATATGCACAGCACTGCAGCCCTGCGGCCCAGGTGCAGCGGCACAGGAGGACATAGTCCTCTACAGCCATCATGGGGCATCAAAGTTTCCTGTGAATTTTCAGAAGGTATAATTTCATGTGTATCTAAATAAACCTGGTACAGCTACTTGCATGTTCAAATTTTAATTGCATATTTAATTTACTAACAGAAGCATGACTCTATATAAATTAAACCAAATGTCTCAAACTAATTATTTTGTTTTGACTAGATTTCTTTCAAAATAATTTCACTATGACTTATAAGCTATACCAGAATTAATATACTTATCTACTTATCAGTTACAGTGCATGACCAACCTGTGACCTGCCCATCCACCTCTCCTTTCTCTGCCTGGCCATGTCAGACTCAAACATTCTGGTGAAAAAAATTAACTTACAAACCAGAAAATTCCATTTTCAGGACACCTATAAGAGAAAGTTCGCCATATGTCAAGCCAAAATCTCAGCAATTTTTAGTTCTAGCTTTGCGTTGTGGAGCCCTATAGAATACCTTACATTCGCTCTGAATTCTTACCTACCTTTAGACGTTCAATGGCTTCCTCTCCTCCGGGTGTGGACATGATCCTCTCCTGGATGCTGGTCACAGATGTCAAGCCCACCTGACTACTGAGTGAGCAGGAAGATGGAGATGAAGTAAGGGACCCCATGGATGCTGTGGAAAAATTGCCAGGGCGTTGATTCTCAGAGGCTAGCAAGTACCTATGCTTATTGTTCTGAAAATCTTTCAGATCTGGGAGACAGAAAGAAGGGAAGGCAGAAAAGGAAAAGAGCAGAGGAAGGAAAAAAGGAAGGAACACCAGTGTAAGAAAGGGCAGCAATAAAGCGCCAAGACAAAGACAAGTTATAATACAAAGACAAGTTACACTTGTTCTAGATGGCAGTTCTAAAACATGTCTCTCTTTAATACAAGTTAAGAACCACATCTGAATTTAAAAACTAAAAAATGCCAATGTGGGTTTAACACTGTATCCTGGAGGAGTAACCAGAGCCCCAAAGGATACTGCTGAGACACCCTCCCTACACAGCCACACCTCTATTCCTCCTACTGGTCCATGTCCACAATGCCTTCCAATTTCAACTACCCCTTAAATTCCAGTAATCTGTACCAGAAAGGGGGGAATGATGATCATTTATTTATCAACAATGACTCATATTGGCCTGGCCCAGTGTTTCATGGAGTTCAGTGAAAATTTCCAAGAAAATATTACAACAAAAATCTGATCACTCAGTAGTGTCTTTTGTACAGCAACATTTCAACATGCTAAAAGGATTTTTTAAAAATACCTTAGATAAAAGCAACAGGTAACTGAAGCAATAACAGGAATTTTGTGTAATTTCCAGCTAAGAGCCCAGGACCTACTGACTGCCTCAACAGGGAAGAACCATTAGCAAATACATACATTTTGGTGTAGTTTCCACTCATCTACTAGAGCAAACAAATTACAAGGTTGATTATTTTGCTAATTTATTTAAGGTCCTTTCTTTGCCTCGTTGCTAGCTATGGGTTCCTGGTAAGCCTGCTTTCAAGTAGGAAATGCAGGTTTTAGAGAGGTACTTTCATTTACTAAGATTTTTTTTTTTTTTAATGAGAAATTTTTTTCCCTATAGGGTGCATGCGCTCACTGGAGAGACTGAGAGATACAGAGTGAGTAATCACCCTCCCCCCGGGGGTGGGTGATGGCCACGCCACAATCCCTTCTCCTCCATTCTCCTCTCAGGATCCTGGGCGCACACAGACATGTGCCTGGCATGAGTTTTAAACCACTGGGTCCAGGACTCGTACTACGGTCAACTACGTGGGAGTCCAGTGACATAGCCATTATGCCATCTACTGGTCCCTCACTTACTAAGGTCTTTAATAGGACTGTAAACCCCACTTTTAAACTTAGTTTTTACCAAAAAATTCATAAAACCCAAAATTCACTAATTTGCTCTTTGTACTTTCTTTCGTGGGGCAATCTTAACAAACTGATACCAGAGGAAAACTATATATATTGGTGCATTCTAATTTTAAAATTAGCTCATTTTTAAATTTGAGAAAATGTATACTGTTTAAAATTCATATAAAAACTAAGTCGGTTTTCCTTAAAGAATATAGTCTGAGTCACTACAAATAGTTGGAAAACTATTATTAGCTCTGTCTGTGTCTATTATCGCTATTATTTTATCAAGGCCAGTCCTTAAAGCCCCTTAAAGCCAGTGGTTGCTTCAAGACAGTTTGAAAACCACCATCTGTAAATATAGAACACAGGAAAACAAGCAATGAGGCATGTTTTAAAAGAGGGACAGGAATTGGAGCAAAAAATAGCTACCATTGCAGCAAGGTAGAAAAGACCAGGATGGAAGGAGTTTAGAAGGTCCAATGGACACATGCAAGCCCTATTTGAATTAAGGGAAGTAGATTAAAAATGGAAACTGAGAAGTAGTCAGGGCTGCTTTCCTTCATGGACACAGAATTAAAACTTAGTCATGCATGGTTTTTCAGGAAATGCCACAGCTGCTCAGAAAAGAGGTAGGCAACAAGCTGGTAGTAGCAGCAACACCTTCAGCACAAGAGCAAGAACACGAAGGCATCTTTTCCACACCAGTATCGTTCAGCTTTGGAAATCTCAGACAGAGCTGTTCTAGTCCAACAGTCATTTCTGTGCTAAGTCATTCTAACGCTTCAAATGCCTAACCTCATCACAACAGCCTGGGCTAGATTTGATTTCTCCTGTGCATCTCCTCTATCTGCCAGGACTACTTTACTACAGGAATTAACAAACAAATCAATGAGAATATAAAAATTAATCCCCAAAACAAGGTTCTTCATTTAAGATAATAATTCTTTGATGAATTATCTTAAAAAGGTAAAGAAATTATTTCCTCACCAACTTAATGACATACATGGAGAATGAGGTACAGTCCTTTATAAAATTCCTTCATTGAGCACATATTTTAGACACTTAGGTTTTTTTTTTTTTTAATTTAACTTGTAATTTATGAAAAGAGAAAAAAAAAGTTTAATCTTCAAGTAAGCTGAGGCCCAAGATATGGAGAAAACCAACTTAGCACAAACACAGGGGAGTACTAACCCAACATTTAGAGTTCAACCCCAGATAGTTTGTCTGACAGGAAATGGTTCCTTTTAATTACACATGTTAAGCCTTAGATTTACAAACCTAATTAAAAAGGACTTTCCTATTAAATAATCAGACTCCAAAGGGAGCAAGTCAAAAGGCATACGTGCACCGAGCGCGCACACACCCACGCTCCACACCAAAGACACACGCGTGCACAACACACACCCCCCCCACACACACAAAAGTAGTAATAAAAAAATGATTAAAAAAAAATAAAAAAGGCTCTGAGCTACCCTACCCAACCTGACTACATAAAACCACAGGCTCTCAAGCAAACAAACCCCTCCAGGCTTCTGGTAAGATGGGCATAATGAAACTTCTTCATTGTCATTGACAGTACTGAAATAGGTAATACACTCACAGTGCTAGAACAGCACCTGGCACATTATAAACACTCAATAAATGTTATGCTATCATCTATGATTTAGGATTTAATTTAATCATATAGGGGGAAAAACTGAAGAATAGAAGAAGCAAGAGATTCCCGAGCCTCTCAACTTCACTGAAGCCACAAACTGAAATGCAGCAAAAATTGCATTGCTAAACAGAGACAGGCAAAAACAAAATCATTTCTTATTCTAGAGTGTGCTCTGTCTGGGATTTCCCTGTTAGGATCGCTGGCATGCAAAGCTCATTTTAAGGCTGATCCAGCAGAGGCAGATTAGCAAGTCAGAGTACTGGAAATAACCAATACATGAAATACACACATTTGCCTCCACTTCCAGAGTAATCATCGATCAATGGATCAACTGAAGGTAAGCAGGAAGGAAAACACAAGAAGGGTCAAAGTTCAGGCTCAGCAGTGACAGAGAGGGAACAGATCATATTTGGCATTTAGGAAGATAAAGAAATTAACACTCAGAATATATGATCATTTTTACAAACTGTATTCATCTAAACTCAGGCTCCAATCAGAACTAAACTACAAGAGGCCTTGAAAATATTATTAGGATTTCAAGGAAATATCAACTTTATACTTAAAAAAGAAAATTAGGCTTTATTAAACAAATCATATTCTACCACATTCCATTCTATATGAATAACCTATTTTTTTCACATACAAGAATTTCTGATCAGACATATAAAAAAATCACTGAGATTTTAAAAATCTACATTTTAAGACAACATTGTAAAACAATACTCTCTTGAAATCTAATTTTTTAATTTGATAGGAATTGGACTTTCCTCCATAGGGAATAAGGGGTCATTCAACCATTTTACAGGAGGGGAAGCCAGAAGTAGTGAATTTAATCTAGAACTAGATTTGAATGGTGGGTTTCTTACTACCACACACTAACACAGAGACTCCTACTAAACAAAAATAAAAACTATCCATAACATTTTAATTTAGTGACTAAGTTCTCACCTAGGATAAGTTTAATATTCCAAATAAACTTTAGTGCTAATCTAAAATGAAATTCTAACAAAATACAAATAGCGACTTATTCATGTTTTGAAAACTAATTTCATGAGTTCAAATGGATATCATGTTACATACTAAGGGAATCCTAAGATCATTTTCACTACTTATTTTTTTTAAAGAAAAAAAAAAGGCAGAAAACCATTTTCACTACCACGAAGCTTCATCAAGTTACTTAAATCTAAGTTTATTTTAATATAAGAACCCTGAAGAGAAAAGGATTAGATCTCGTGTAGATCCTTAATTCACTTACTATCAATAATGTCTCCCAGGCCCTGAGCTCGAAGGAGGTCCTTCAGCCGTGTCACCTCTTCCTTTAATTCACGAACCAGTTTGGCATTGGGGTCCTCATTAATAACAGCATTGCATTTAATTTGTTTTGCACGATCTGCATATCTAGAACCAAAAAGAAAATTAATTCTTGTCAGATGATATACTCGTAAGTAACATACCACCGTTTCTAAATCAAACATTTACACATTTTATGAGTCTTTTTTCTCTTTTTTTTTTTTTTGAGAGGTTTTTGCAATAGGGCGTGTGCGCTTGCCAGAAAGACAGAGAGAGACAGAGAGAAAGAAAGTGAGAAATCACCCCCCAGGGGGGATGGCCACGCCACAATCCCTTCTCCTTCATTCTGCTCTCGGGATCTTGGGCACGCATACACACACGCCCGGCGTGAGTTTAAGCCACCAGGTCCAGGACTCGAACTGCGATTGACTACATGGGAGTCCAGTGACATAGCCATTACACCAACTGCTGGTCCCATGAGTCTTAATAATAGTATGTTTGCATAAATTTTCACAGTACCTTTACAGAAATGAGTAAAAGGTTCAGATGAATTTAAATGATTAACCCAAGATCACGATGAAAATATATATCAGAGAAGTCTCAAATACCAATCTGTCAGACTATTCTGTGTTCTTTCATTATACTAAGTATCTTTAATAGGAGAAGGCTGGAGTTTCAGATTAAAGTAATGGAATATATATATATATATTTTTTTATATATATATAATATAAATTATATATCTTACCACTAAACATCTGTTAATAATGTTTTTAATGCTACATGTACTCATAATTGTATTACTTTTCACATCTTGAACATTTCTATAATGACCAACACAACAGAAAGGGCTGTTTCTTTTTATAGAAATAATTATAAGAAAATTTCACTATCCATTGAAAATCTCCAAAATCAACTGCGATTGACTACATGGGAGTCCAGTGACATAGCCATTACACCAACTGCTGGTCCCATGAGTCTTAATAATAGTATGTTTGCATAAATTTTCACAGTACCTTTACAGAAATGAGTAAAAGGTTCAGATGAATTTAAATGATTAACCCAAGATCACGATGAAAATATATATCAGAGAAGTCTCAAATACCAATCTGTCAGACTATTCTGTGTTCTTTCATTATACTAAGTATCTTTAATAGGAGAAGGCTGGAGTTTCAGATTAAAGTAATGGAATATATATATATATATTTTTTTATATATATATAATATAAATTATATATCTTAATACTAAACATCTGTTAATAATGTTTTTAATGCTACATGTACTCATAATTGTATTACTTTTCACATCTTGAACATTTCTATAATGACCAACACAACAGAAAGGGCTGTTTCTTTTTATAGAAATAATTATAAGAAAATTTCACTATCCATTGAAAATCTCCAAAATCTCACATGAGCAATTATATAAATTATATATCTTAATACTAAACATCTGTTAATAATGTTTTTAATGCTACATGTACTCATAATTGTATTACTTTTCACATCTTGAACATTTCTATAATGACCAACACAACAGAAAGGGCTGTTTCTTTTTATAGAAATAATTATAAGAAAATTTCACTATCCATTGAAAATCTCCAAAATCTCACATGAGCAATTTTAACATCCTGCCTATGAAAAAGTTCCTGCACTTCCCAATGAAGCTGAAATCATAACAGATAAATTTTACTATAATAAAAATATTTTTTCTATGATTTCCCTTTAATGAGAGGAAGGAATATTATTCACATAAATGACAACCCACAAAGCATGAGAAATTCTATAGTATGACAAAATGACTTCTGATGGCAATGTGGTTTATTTATCTACTGAGATTAAATGAGAGTACCTCAGAGTACTCAAAGTTTCATCATAGTTAATATCTGCCGGGCTCAGAGCAGCAACCATTGCAGTCCGAGAATTGCCACCTAAAAAAGATAAATCATAAATATTTCAAATCATTCTCATTTTCTACAGAACTTCATTGAATCTGTCAGATCTGATGGCACAACCTCAGATCCTAAGATTAATCACAAGTCAACAAATTTCTTAATATCCTCATGCCAGGCACTGTTAAACTCTAGTGTCTAGATCTACTGGGGACAATCCCTGTCTTCCACATTCTTGAGCCCACTCAAGTAAAAATCTCAACCGCTCCACCAAAATGGTCCTTAGCAATGTAAAAGTCATTAGTGATGGAGCTAAACCCAAGCTGAGTCTAATCTCAGCCTCCTCTATCAGCAACATCTGACACAACGGGTCAGTCCTTCTTTCTGGATAAGATGGAGTAGTGAATGAAGGGCAGCAAACTGAAGGTCCCCAAACATTAGCAGTCAGGGGGTTGGCAACATCTGATTATGCAATCTAGAATGGGCAGGGGCTTTTGAGAGACAGTCAAAGGAGCAATAGTTTGAAGCAGGTGTGGGGAGTCAGGAAGATCACTACTCCATAGTTCATGCCACGAAGTAAATGAAATATGGGAGAACACCCATAGATTTAAAATTGAGCAAATCTAATCTGCTGAATCAAGAGTAAAACCAGAAAAAGATATAGAGCACTTGAGTTAGTAATCTGAATGGGTATATTATTCTTCTCCAAAACAGACATGGGGCAATTAACAAATAATCAGCAAACTGCTTCAAGATGCTTAGCATACCTACCTAGATTTTCTCGAAGGAGCCAAGTAAGTACAGAATCCCTATAAGGAATAAAATCAGTTTTCTTCTTCTTTTTACTCTGTTAAAGACAAGGAAATGGCCATACCATTGTTAGGGGGGAAAGGTGCATGAAAGGCAAACCAGTCTATAATTCCTAAATTAATAAAATCCCAGTAGCACCCCAACACTATTGAATCTCATCACTATTTCAGTTCTTCATAATACCCAAAGCTCATGCAATACCTTTTTTTACATTTTATTTTGAAAATGTGTAATATACACAAGTCAAGAGAGTATTATAAATGAGTAACCATATACTCATCATCAGCTTTAACTATTACCAATATTTTGCCAATCATCTTTCAATTATTCCCGAAACACTTTTGTACACTGTATTGGAGTAAGTTGTATTCATCATGTTCATTTACCCCTACAACACTCAGTAGATAGACATTTTCTTACACCAGGTACAATGACCAAGTTCAGGAAATATGACATCAAGACTACAATCTAATATTCTGTCCATATTATGTCTTCTATAGCTGTTAGTGTTTAAAACCAAATCCAACATTTCACCTAAAAATACTTTGGGTACATAATGAACTCAAAAAAAAAAAAAAGACTGTTATCACATCTTACAAAATTAACAATTTCTTCACATTGTCTAATATCTAGTCCTCAAACAGTAATTTTTATTTTTGTATGAATCCTGTGCATTACCAGTCAGATGTATTGATTTTATTTGGCCAACCACCAATCAAGTGGGTTGTGGTATATCTAATAATTATTGTAAAGTAATACATGTTTGTTTGTTTTTTCAGAGAGAAAATCATGCCAAAAATAAATTCAACCAGTAGAATGAAGACAAAATTAAAAGGTCTAAAAAAATGACGTGATTTGCTAATTGAGAGATCTGTAAGGAGTACAAAATGAGTTCTGTGTACATAAGAAGGGTCTTCTTCTTCTTCTTTTTTTGGGAGAGGTTTTTGCTATAGGGTGCGTGCACTCGCCAGAAAGAGATAAAGAGATAGAAAGTGAGAAATCACCCCCCAGGGGATTGGCCACGCCACAATCCCTTCTCCTCCATTGTCCTCTAGGGATCCTGGGCATGCATGCACATGTGCCTGGCGTGAGTTTAAGCCACTGGGTCCGGGACTCAAACCGTGGTTGGCTACATGGGAGTTCAGCGACATAGCCATTACGCCAACTGCTGGTCCCAGGAGGGTCTTCTTGTAATACTTTTTCATGATCCTTTTCATCACCACAGCATAAACCAAAATGGTCCAATGAAAAGGCAGTGCTAAAAATGAAGGAAATTATATTCCCCAAAAGTAAAAATTAATGCAAACACTTTGCAGAAGATAGCTACTCAAATATCAGCTGGCTGACAGTGTGTGATCCTCTATGAAGCTACTAACAGGAAAAGTCAGAGTTCACTGAAAAACATTGCCCCAGTAATTGGCAGTTATATAGTCCATTCCTGGAATAATTTGACATTAAACTGAGGGAGAACTACTTTTTGAAAAAGCACAGGTAGGGTCCAGAAGTTGGCATAATGGCTATGTCACTGGACTCCCATGTAGTCAACTGTAGTTTGAGTCCCGGACCTGGCGGCTTAAACTCACACTGGGCGTGTGTGCATGCATGCCCAAGATCCCGAGAAGAGAATGGAGGAGAAGGGATAGCAGTGTGGCCATCATCCCGGGGGGGGGGTGATTTCTCACTTTTTTGTCTCTCTGTTTCTCTCTTCCTGGTGAGCACAAAAACCTCTCTTAAAAAAAAAAAACCACAAGTATTTAGAAAATAAAGCACCAGTGGCTGACCTCCAGTTTGTTGAGAAAAAGAGGGAGTAGATAAGTAGCATTTAAATTCCACCTCTCATCAAAAATATTCATGCCGGGGCCAAAAGATGATGTGGTGGTTACATTGCCGGACTCCCACATGGCCAAATGAGTTTCAAATCCTGGACCCAGTGGCTTGAAAATCACACTGGGTGCATGTACCCAAGATCTCAGGAGGAGAATAGAGAAGGGAGTGCAGTGTGGCCATCCCCTTGGGGGGGGTAATTTTTCACTTTCCCACTCACCGTCTCGGTGTCTGTTCAGCGAGTACATGTACTCTATGGCAAAAACCTCTTAAAAAAAAAAACAAAAAAAACAGGGCCGGGGACCAGCAGGTCAGCGTGGTGGTCAAGGGTGCTAGACTCCCACATGTCCAGCCGTGGTTCGAGTCCCAGACCAGGCGGCTTGCTTTCTCACTTTCTCTCTCTCTCTGTCCTCCTTTGGTCAAATTAAAAATAAATAAAATTAGGGACCAGCAGTTAGCATAATGACTATGTCGCTGGACTCCCACATAGTAGACCACGGTTCACGTCCCGGACCCGGTGGCTTAAAACTCACGCCTGAGCGGAGAATGGAGGAGAAGGGATTGCGGTGTGGCCATCCCCCCTGGGAGGTGATTTCTCCCTTTCTATCTCTCTGTCTCTCTCTGTCTGTCTGGTGAGCACACGCGCCCTATAGCAAAAACCTCTAAAAAAAAAAAATTAATTAAAAAATAAATAAAATTGAGTAAAATAATTTTTTAAAAAATTCATTCCATCCCATCCCACTACACAGATGTATATTCTACCAAATAGAAAGTCATTTCCAATAGCAGGTTCAATTTTAAGTTTCAGATTTCTAGGGAGTATTAAGTCTTCAGGTTATTCACAGATTAGTGGGACAAAATTTCATGCCCCTACAAAATCCTTGAGGTCTAAGATCTGTTAAATCTTTCATAGTTTCCAAACATACCTAGACACCCCGCTTTGCTCACTGTTAGTACTGCAAAATGCTGTTAAGATGTAGAGTATGCCAGTTTCACTGTCCACAAACAGTATTTATAAAATAAACAATGTCAGTTTGACAAAATGTTCTTATTTTCATTCTTTGTCAGTTAGATACTAAATTAAGAAGAAAAAGCTAAATAAAGAGGTATAAATAGAATTTCAATCCATTCCATTTGAAAATGCCTCAGAATTTTAGCTGTTTCTTATATAATTTGCTCTCTAATTAATCCCATCTATTTTCACATTCATAAAAACTTTAAAAATACATGCTTCACAGTTACTTGGATAAAAAGCTTTACTTAGATCATTAACCTCTCTATAAAGAAATATTGTTAAGTTTAGATGATAATAAGCCTGTTTCTCTCCCCAGTGGAAATAACAATACATACTCATTTACTCAATATTATGCCTACTACATAAAAACTAAAGTCTATTGTAGGTCTATGATAGTTACACATGCAAAGTACTAAGCTGGTTTTTATAGAACTGATTATAAACATCATTTGCAATTATTATGTATTGTTAAGTATTAATAAATATTTTATAAACTTTTCCTTAGTTGACATGGACAGTAACAGATAAGCAAATGGACAGGACAAGTTAGAGTGATCACTAAGTTTTACCAATCTTTATGGTTCTGGGACCCAAATCACATATTGGCGGAATGTTCACATATATAGTATCAAAGAGCAGACAAAAGTTGTGAGTCTAAGGCACCCTTTTCTGACAAGCAAAGAAAAAAAGAAAAAAGAGCCTTACTTCTTACTGCTATTTTTGTAGAAGTGTAGAAAATAACCAATCTATATATTGAAAATATGTTATATTTCAGGCAGGCTCTGTGGCACAGTGGTTAGGCATTGTGCAGAGGAAGCCAGGTCCCACATGGTCAATCAGAGTTTGATTCCTGGCCCCATCAGCTTAAAAAACATGCCAGGTACATATATGTATGTCCAGGATCCTAATGGGACGGAGAACTGAAATAAAAAGGATTGCAGTATGAACAGGGCCTGATGGGAGGAGTGTTTTCTCTTTTTCCCTCTCTGTCTCTCTCTCATGTATGTATATTTGTTCCCTGGACTAAAAATAATAATAATAATTAATTAAATTAAATAAGATATTTCTGTACAAATACTGCCCCATCCCAATTTTACTTGTGTGATTCATGACAAATTATTAAGTGCTCTAAATTTTATTTATGTAAGAGTACTAAGACATTTTAACAGTACTCAGATATAAATACAAGCGAAAATTCAGTATTTGAGTTAAAAAAAATGAATCCAAATACTATGTTCTGTAGAAAAAAATGTTTTTACCTCTCCAAGAACAAAAAACTTTTTTTTTTCCCTGAAGAGTGCATGTTCACACAAGAGAGAGACAAAGACATAGAGCAAGAGAGAAAGTGACAAAGCACCCCCGTGAGGCTGGTTACACCCAATCCCTTGTCCTCCAACCCCTCATCCTCCTTTTCTCTTCTCAAGATTTCAGGTGTGTGAGTATGCTTGTGCACACCCACAAACTGACATGTTTCTGAAGCCACGGGATCAGAATTCAAACTGCATAGCCAGCCATGTGGGATCCAGCTACCACACCACCAGCTGGTCCCAATACATTTTTTAATGTTTTAAATAATCCATGACCTTTCATGGTAGGAAGCAAGTAAGATAATACAAAGAGGTTTAAGAAATGCAGTGTAGGACCAGCCAGGTGGCATGATGGTTAGGGCAGCTGGATCCCACATGGCCAGCTACACGATTTGAGTCCCAGACCCGGCGGTTTATGAAACACTCTAGGCACATGCACAACACTGCTCAAAATCCTGAGAGGAGAATGGAGGAGAAGGGACTGTGGTGTCATCATTGCCCCCTAGGGGGTGCTTTTCCTTCTCTCTGTCTCTCTCTGTCTCTCTCTCTCTCTCTCTCTCTCGGGAGTGTATACGCCCTATAGCAAATTGCAGGGAAAGAAATGAAAATAAATAAATAAAACATAGTAAGCATTAATAATCAAGATGCCAGCTATGTTGTAGAATGGTACCCTTACAAATTTAATTTATTGCCCTTTTGTGTGGTTTACAGGCCTGTCAAGAGACAATGCTACAGGTCAGTAGAGAAAACACTGAAAAAGCTTCCTCAAATTTCTCTCTTGTTCCTTTATTCTTAATTCCTCTCCAAAGCACGTCATGTTCTCTAAATTAATTTTGGTGTTAAGTCTCATGAGTCATGGTCATCCTCATAGCCATTGGTCACCCTTATAGCCATTCAAAATTCCAGAGCTAGAAAACAGATGACAAAACATTTTTTAAAGGCTCAATTCCTATTGAGGCCTCCAAACATCCTGCTGAGGATTTAAAACCACTACAGTTGATTCTACAGCTAGTTCAGGTCTACCATCTCCATCATACCTTGCTGGTGCAGTTATCCTACAGATGAAAGCATTTTAAAAAGAAAAGAAGAACACAGGATAAGCCTCCAAATAGAAAATATTCTGTTTAAATTTTAGTCATAAGTTATGATTTCTCACAGACAAGCAAGAAGGCATTCAATTCTTTTTAGCAATTTATATGAGAAATAAAACTCAATTAAAACACACAATGACTAATACATATTTCCTCAGCCTCTAACCTAAATAATGCATCCCCTTATTCAAAAACTATTTCAGCTGTAATGTTCCATAAGGAATACAAAAGAATGAAACTATTTTTAAAAAGCCAAACTGTTCAAACCCTGAAGAAATACTACATTCTACTTAGAAAAGATTATACGAGAAAAGAATATACAACAAATATACTTGGTTTTTGTGAGATATGAAATAAGGCTCAAAAAATGAGTCAAACCTTAGATGTTCACGCTAGCTGTTATAGATCTAATATTTACTTTCATTCTTCTTCTTCTCTTTTACCTTCAGTACAAAGTCAAGCTGGGTTATACACCTAGTAGCTTATTGGTAAAACTCTAAAAGGAGAAGGCTAGCTTATATAAAAGGTGGAAAAAATGACAGCCTTCATAAACAATCAAAAAATATCACCAAATATATTTACTGAGCAGAAAAATTTCCCCTTACAATGAAATATAAACTTACCACCTCTGCCAAGGCTGAAATGACTTTGCCCAATGTTGTGAGAGATTTATTAATATTTGCTCCTTCCTACAATAAATATCAAACAAGAAGGAATTATGATAAAAAATTTCTGCTACCTCACTACCACACACAACATAAAAAACAATTGGCTATAATGCTAGCATATTTATTCCTTTATGACAAGTTCTAAACGCCTCCTTTAGTTCTCAATCTTTCTCTTCACTTGAGCATATGCTGGTACCAATGCCTGAGTCTCAAAGTATGTTCAAGATGTCTGTGCTCCAACACCTCACAGACACAGTCTTCTTCCCACAACTTGTCTACTTGAAATTTCTGCTCTTGTTAAGCAGTTCTCTCTCCCAATGCATGCCCATTCTGACATCTGGCTCTTGTATAGTCTATTCCCATCACTCTCTCCTCTGTCTAGTCAAGTTCTGCCTGCTCCTCAGAGTGCAATTCAACTCTCACCTGGACCATGAAGTCCTCCATAACCATTCTGTTACATAACTTATCCTTTCACTGAAATATGAGGAGTTGGACATTTTTTTTTTCCTGTAAAGGGCCAGGTTTTGTGGGCCTTATTTTCTCTGTCCACTGTAGTGTAAAAGTAGTCATAGGCAATACATAATAGATGGAGCTATATCTCAATAAATTTTTTTATAAAAACAGGGCACTAGTGGGGTGGATCTGGCCTGTAGACACAGTCTGCTAACCCATGATACAGAACCTTTATTGGCCTGACATTTATTTGGTAAAATAAATACCTTTAATCGAGTCCCTTTGGCACCTGTTGAATCAGCTCGTTCACTTCCCGCAAGATCCACCAGGCTGATTTTACTGACCTGGTAAAGAAAAATAACATGGGCCATGAAAAAATAAATAGTAAACATTCAGGGGCAGAAAATTTATGAAAAGGCCAAAGTATGGTGAAGATTAAAAACACCAGAATTCTTAAGTATGGCATAAGAAGATAAAGGCAACATAGACCATAGTTTAAAGAACATGTATAGAATTCACAGCAATTATCTTGTTCAAAAGAAGTGACTTTAGGATAAGCATGGCATACCACTCAATATGTTATAAAAATATTAAAAAGTTATAAACTCAAGAAGCTGTCGCCTAGCCACAGAGGTGCAGGCAGTGGGGTGTCACTGTCCCATACTGGAGCTAAGTGAAAGGCCAAGGTTCGGATCCTGGGTCAATCTGAACAAGTCGGAGTGCCAAGGTGTACCCGTGATCCTGCTGGCTGGGGTGTCCCTTCACTCAGGAAATAAATAAAATGAAGCTCTGGGGTCAGCTTTGTGGCACAGAGGTACGCAATTGGACCCACATGGGCAAGTCTTTGTTGTGCGTCCTGGGCCTGGATGCATGCTCACATGCCCATGATCTGCACTGGCTTAGGAGAGGGCAGATCATGGCATGAGTTCCTTGTTGGGTATGTCTCTCTCTGGTGGAAGAAATACATTTATTGGGACCAGTAGTTGGCATAATGGCTATGTCGCTGGACTCCCATATAGTCAACTGCGGTTCGAGTCCCAGATCTGGTGGCTTAAACTCACACCGGGAGCATGTGCATGCGTGCCCAAGATCCCAAGAGGAGAATGGAGGAGAAGGGATTGCAACATGGCCATGCCCCTGGGAAGTGATTTCTCACCTTTTGTCTCTCTGTCTCTCCGGTGAGCACATATGCCTTATAGCAAAAACCTCTCCAAGAAATCAATAAATAAATGTATTAACTTAAAAAAATTGAAAATGAAGCTTTGAGCAACTGGAACACTCACATACTGCTGGTGGGAATATAGTACTATCTGTGGGAAACAGTTTAGAAGTTTCTAAATTAAATACACATTACATAAAGCTCAATAATCCTGCTCCTAGATATTTATCAAGAGGAACAAAAACAAATTTATCCAGACCACACAAAGCTGTACACAAATGTTCACAGTAGCTTTATCCATAATAATGAAAAAAACCTGAGAGGATTTAAATGTCCATCAATAGGTGACAAACAGTGGTATATGTACACAATGGAATACTGATCAGCAATGAAAAGGAATGAACTATTGATATATATAATATAGATTAATCTCAAGATCATTAGGCTAAGTTGAAGAAATCAGGAAAAAAAAGTAGTGCCTCTGAGGGGATGTCAAAAACTTCATGGCAAACGGAATTAAAATTATGAGTTTATTGGGACCAGCAGTTAGCGTAATGGCTATGTCACTGGACTCCCACGTAGTTGACCGCGGTTTGAGTCCCGGACCCGGTAGCTTAAACTCACGCTGGGCACGTGTGCCCAAGATCCCGAGAGGAGAATGGAGAAGGGATTGCGGCATGGCCACCCCCCTGGGGGGTGATTTCTCGCTTTCTGTCTCTCTGTGTCTGTCTGTCTGGCGAGCGCATGCGCCCTATAGCAAACACCACTCAAAAAAAAAAAAAGTATGAGTTTATTTTGGTCCAAAATTTTTTTTAAATTAATGCACAGTTTTTTCATGATATGCATTTTTCATAAACTTTTTGAAGTCCCCACATACCACATATGTGATTCCATTTATATAAAATTCTAAAAAATACAAAATTATATGCAAGAAACAAAGCAGATTAAGAATTCCCTGGGACAGAGGTACATGAAAGGATAGAGATAGATTACAAAGAGGCATAAGGCAACTTTTTGGAGTAACAGAAATTCTCATTATCCAGACTATGGTACTGGTTTCACAGGTGAGACTGCTATAGATGGGGAAATAGAGAAACAAGATTAAATACCTTGCCTAAGGTAACACAGCTAAAAAGTGACAGAACCAGGGTTCAAAGCAAACATTCTAATTCTAAAGTCTACAATATTTAACCACTACAGAAAATGAGAAATTAACAAGCCAAAGTATTTGAAAAACATCAGAAATGTTTTGTAGATACTTATTTTTTTAGGAATAAGATAGGTCTATGTGCCACAATAACATTATCATTAAAAAAAATAAAAAAAATAAAAACACAGAATATAGATAATTAAAAGGTTCTAATCAAGAATTTTCAGGAGCAGCAGATGGCATAATGGTTACATCGCTGGACTTCCAAGTAGACTGTGGTTTGAGTCCCAGACCTGGCAGCTTAAAACTCACACCAGGTACATGTGCATGCGTGCCCAATGGAGGACAAAGGATCGTGGTATGGCCATCCCTCGGGGAGTGATTTCTCGTTTTCTGTCTCTCTGGTAAGTGTACAGACCCAAAAGCAAAAATCTCTCTCCTAAAAAAAAATTTTTTTTTTCTCCCTCTGGAATTATTTAGCTGTTTTACACAGAGTAGTTTTGAGACCCAGAGTCCTGGGGTTGTTTCCTTCTTTTGAATTGCCAGAGGGTGCATGTGCTTACCAGAAAGAGACAGAAAGAGAGGGAGAGACAGAAAGCACTCCCCAATGGGGCATGGTCATACCATAATCCTTCTGTTTCTCCATCCTGCTGAGATGTGAGGCACATATACATGTGCCTGGCATGTTTCTCAATCTGCCAGGGCCAGGATTTGGGATCTGGCTCCTTTCATCACTGTGCTGCATGACCAGCCAGGATGTTTTCTTCTTAAGTCTATTTTCTTTTTCAATTTCTTTTTAATTGCCAGACGTGCATGTACTTGCCAGACACAGAAAGAAGTAAGAAGAAACAAAAATCACCCCTCAATGGTTAACAGTCCTTTTTCCTCCATTTCTCCATCCTACCAGGATTTTGGACATGCATATACGTGCATCCAGCATGTTTTTCAAACTACTGGAGCCAGGACTGAAACCGTGATCAGCCATGTGGCATGTAGCGACTTATTGCTCCAACCACTGAACTATGGGGCTGGCCCTTAATTCTATTTTCTATCTTGCAATTTCATTTAAGAACCCATGCTGACAGCTGATGTAAGATGCAAGAAAAATGATAAGCAGAGGCTATAAAACACTCTCTATTAAGAGCAAAATGCAGAGGGTGGTACCAAAAGGGTCTTCTTAAAATCTTCATTTTTCACAACTTAAGCCCAGAGACTGAAGTTTTTCTTACCTTCTCAGTAGAAAGGTTGGTCTCAGTATCATGTTTCTTCTGGGTGAAAACAATGGTGAACACAGCGTGGGAACGGCTACTTGTTTCATTCATATTGGTAGCTGCCACTGTCCTAAATAAACATAAACGTGACCATGTGACAATGGAATTCTTAGATGACAGTAATAATGGACAGCAGGCCCCATGTTATAAGCATAACAATTACAAGCAATAGCCTTAAACTTATTCACAGATTGGAAGATTGTCACTTACACAACTGCTCTCCATACTGCCTTATTTGTGAGCCCATCAAGTTGCCCTCCAGCACTCAAAGCAATCCCGTCAGAATCATTTTTCATACTCCAGCTATCCCTTTAGAAATCACTGAAGCATTTAATCTGTATTCTTTCTTAGGTGCTCCAGAATCAATTACTACCATAGCCATATACAGACATGATGACTAACGTTTTAACATGACTTGATCAAAGTCAAAGAGTAAAACTTAACCAAAGTTCTAATGTGTTTCACCAATGCACTGTGTGATAAGAAGAAAAATCATCTGCTGACACCTCACCTCTTCAGCACAGACAAAAGATTAGAGGGCTCCACAGTCAAAGCTGCTTTCCTAGCCATAAATGTGGCCTCAAACCCTTAACCAGCAACAAAGGGCCTCAAAATATGCCAAATACCTCAGTCATCAGTCTATTTCCTACCATACCTGGCTTTGTTCCCAGCATCCATGAGGTCGGCAATGTCCGTGTAGGAAGTGACTGCCAATTTTGACAGATCTTCCACATAAGGTCCAAGAAGTGGGTGTTCACGCACACGCAAATTACCCTTGTTTTTTGGATTCAGCAAATCTCGTACCCTCTCACAGTAAATTTCCATGTAGCTCACCTAAGAACAAATTATTAAAGAGAATTAGAAAACTTGGAAAAAGAAATCACATAGTAAAAAGATTTTTTAAAACTTCAATATGTTTTATCAAATGTAAACTATTGTAATTAGGGTTTACAGTGAACTTAGAACTGTTCATAATATCACTAACGAGGGTGTATCTACTAATAAAGGTGAGGGATGATCAACGTGGAAGGTATATGGTGGCGGTACCTATGCAAGACTTATGGGCAAAGAAAAAGCCTCAGACACTGCACTGCATCAGTTCTTCTTGCCTCATCAAAGACTGGTCCTATCACTGCGATGAATACTCAGGGTTATTACTTTTTAACCTGAGGCAACAAAACATTTATCTCATCAAATCCCCTTCCTCCAATTCTATGTTCACCAAGTAACCAAGAGGATTCCAATATAGGTCTGTTCACAGAAAGAACAAACGCTAGTCTGAACTGTGGTAATAACTGGAAGGGTAATAACTATTCCTCATGGGAAAATAATAAAACAACATATTGGTTTCCTAACATCAGTTATATGAGCTTCAGTCTAGAGTCTGACTTTGAAGGACGGTTCTGTTCCTGATGTATCTAAAAATCAGACTTCTGAGCAAACAAGGCTCTCAACTGGGGTCCATTCACCACAGTGGGCCACACTGTACTGCTTCCCAGAACCTTCTGTATCATGGAGCTATTCAAACATACAACATAGCTCCTGCATTTTTCAACTTTAACTTCCCAGAGACACATTTCAGAGTATCTGAACTAGAACCTAATCTCCATTTCTATTGGCTTTCTCTTTCAGTCTCTAATCTGTGTCTTTATTCTGTATCTTAAATCAGTTTTAAAAATTTGAGAACACTGAAAGACAAAGTAATTGTTCCATGATGACAGTAAGTCAACAAGTATTATTTTCAGTAGCAAGCCATCATAGAAAATGAGATGGTACTTTAATCATTCTTGTGTACACACAAACCTAAATTCCACAAAGGTGTGAGCTGAAGGTTAACATGTTCTTATTCCTTGTTCTCTACTATGTGAACCTGTCTGAACCAACCATTACAGACCCCACCTGGCAAGTTCAAATTCACTGAACACCACAGTCTTCCAGGCACCATTGTAGGCAGTTGGCTAAATAAAATAAACAAAGATCCCTGGTCTGCTGAGTTTACAATTCTGGTAAGAAAGCTGGACAATAAACAACAAACATAAAAAAAAACCAGGAACCTTATAAAGTATGTTATAACATGAAGGGTCAGCCTGTGGCATGGTGGTTAAGGCAGCTGGATCCCACATGGCCTACTGTGTGATTTAAGTCCCAAATATGGAGGTTTGATGTGTGCATACCCAAAATTCCGGAAGGGAAAAATGGAACAGGGATTATTGTAACATAACCATTCTCCATGGAGAATGCTTTCTCGTGTGTTTTCTTTTCTTTCTCTCACCTCTCTTCCTCTCTCTCTACAGCAAATATATGTATTTTCTGGCAAACATTTAAAAAATATATATGATGAGGGGATCAGCAGTCAGCATAATGGCTATGTCACTGGACTCCCATGTAGTCAACCGCAGTTCGCGTCCCGGACCCGGTGGTTTAAAACTCACGCAGGGCGCGTGTGCATGCATGCCCAAGATCCTGAGAGGAGCATGGAGGAGAAGGGATTGCGGCGTGGCCATCCCCCCTGGGGGGGTGATTTCTCACTTTCTGTCTTTCTGTCTGTCTCTGTCTGGCGAGCGCACGCACCCTATAGCAAAAGCCTCTCCAAAAAAAAAAAAAATATATATATATATATATATATATAATGATGAGAATAATGGACAAAGAAATAGGACAGGGCAAGGGAGATTAGGAGTGCTGGGTAGAGGGTAAGCAGCAGCAACATTAAATAAGGCGATCTAAGCATGCCTCAATAAGATGGTGAGATCTGAGCAAAGACTTGAAGAAACTGGGATATCTAACTAAAAAGATATCCAGGGGAAGAAATTATAGGCAGAAGGAAAAGTAAATGAAAAGGCCCTGAGGTAGTGGTGCTCCTGGTATGTTCTAGAAATAGCAAAAAAGCCAATACAGTTAGAACAGAGTAAGTAGGGAGAGAGGAGGTCAGAGAGGGCCGACAGATACGACAAGGAACTATAGTATCAATTATGGATTGATGCTACACTCCAAATAAGCCTATGAACTGTGACTAATGTGAATGAAATGGTATCTTCCTTTATTACCTATAAGCTCAAAAATTCTACCACCCAGCTCAAAAAAGAATAAAGGGTAAGTTACAGGATGAGGTAACCTATTTTGGGCCAGCAGGAGGCATGCTGGCTGGGAAACAAGGCTCTCGCATGGCTGACCACAGTTCACCCCCAGGATCCAGCAACTTGAAGGTCACAAGACAGGCACAGGTGCATGCGTGCCCAAAATCTTGGGAAGGAGGGTGAAGAGAGGGGACTGCAGCATGGCCATCCCCTCAGGGAGTGGCTTATCACTTTCTCTCTCTGTTTCTCTCTAATGAGCACACATGCCCTATGGCAGAAGCCAAAGAAAAATTATAAATAATAATTTTGACACAACAGCACATCCTCCTTTAGTACGATAGTCACAAAGCGGAATTTTAAAAAAGAATTATTTATTTAATTGTATTTATTATTATTCAGTTTAACTAGAGAGAGAGCAAGAGAGGGGAGGGAGAATAAGAAAGCAAGTCACCAGGTCCAGGACTCAAACCCATGGTCAGCCAAGTGGGAGTCTGGTGGTCCAGCCACCAAACAACTTACCAGTCCAACAAGGCAGAATTCTTTAAAATTATATTTATAAAATTTTGTAGGCAAAGTAAGTGAATTAACTAGGAACTGTTTAAGTTCCACTGAAAAATCACAACACATACCAAAAAAACTAGGTTGTTTAAAACGCAGTTTAATTTCTCAGAACAAGTTCTTTAAAAGAACACTTTAATAATTTCAATTACTATGAAAATCAATATTGAAAGATGTGTGCATGTGAAGCACGCTCATAAAGTATATATATATATAAAAAGAACATTTATCAAATAAACTAATGTGTAAAAGTTAATCTGAAAGAACCGGGATGAACACTGGATGGAGAATAACTTCCCAAGTTAGCAATTATCAAGGGGGAAAATAAAAGATTTTATTATACATACATACATATATGTGTGCATATATAAATACGTATACACACGTATACAGACACACATATACTTACATCTTTTTTTTAGGCCAGGTACTTTATATTGTAATCTTCCTACCTCAAGCCTCTTGAGTAGGTGTGACTGCAGGTGTGTGCCACCATGACCAACTTTTAGGGTGGGCTGAGAATCAAGCCCAGGCCTCCCATACGGCCTCGACCTGCTGAGTAGCAGTGTCAATCAATACTACATGTACTGTGGACTATGGCCAGGCAAGATTTTATACACACACACACATGTGTGTATGTATATGTATACATATATGTATGTGTATACCCACACATATGAGTGTGATAAATGTATGTGTGTGTGTATATATATATATATATATATATATATTTTAAGATTAAGATTACTTATCTATTTAATTCCACTTATTATTATTATTATTATTCAATTTGACCAGACAGAAAGTGAGAAAGGGAAAGCGAGAAAGCAAGCTGCCAGGTCCAATATTCAAACCGTGGTTGGCCATGTGGGAAACCAATGCCCTCAACCACCATGTCACCTGAGGGCCCCTATATATATGTATACATTTTTTTTTAAGAGATTTTTGCAGGGCTGGCAGGTGTTGTGGTGGTTGGTGCACCCACATGGACTCCCACATGGCCAACTGTGGTCCAAATCCCGGACCTGGCAACTTGCTTTCTCACTTTCCCTCTCTCTCTCTCTCCCTCTCACTCTGACCCTCAATGGTCAAATTAAAAATAAATAAATAAAATTAAATAAAGAGAGAGAGAGAGATTTTTGCTATAGGACTTGCCAAAGAGACAGAGACAAGAGACCCAGAAAGTGAGATATCACCCATCAGGGGAGATGGCCATGCTGCAACTCCTTCTCCTCTCTCCTCTCAGTTTTTTGGGCATGCACGCATATGTACCTGGCATGAGTTTCAAGCCAATGGGTCCAGGACTCAAACCACAGTCAACTACAGGGGAGTCCAGCGAAATACTCATTACATCTGCTGGTGCCCAAGATTATACATATTTTAAAGATTGGGACCAGGTGTTGGCACAGCAGTAAAGCGTGATGTTCTGGGGCACTCTCACATGGGTAGATTCCCAGCTCAAGTCTGAAGGCCTCCCTAAGTAAAAGGGCACATGCAGGCCCATGACCCAGGGCTGGGTGAAAACTGGGAGTGTGTCTTGGCATCAGGAACTTAGAGCAGGTGCTGTCTGTCTCACTCATGGAATAAATGGATACGTAAAGAAATTTTTAAAAATCTAGGTTGCTAAAAATCATTATTAAGAATAATAAAAGGGAAAAAATTCATACAAATAAGGAAAATACTACAACCACAAAATGTAAATAGGCATATACATAATTTACAAGAAGCTCAACCACACTAATCATCAAAGAAATGCAAATTTAAAAGAGAAATTTTGCCATATAATTGGCAGAGATTAAAAAATGAAAACGCTAAATGTTGGCAAGGACACAATGGGTATTCATTCTCTGCTAGTGGGATTAAAACTGGTCACAGCCTTTCTTTCTGAAAGGTCATTTAACAATTCAAATGTATTAACAATCAAGATACACACAAAGGTAATAACAGAAAATATTAGGCCATTGGAAAAGTCATGATGTATTTGTCTAAGTTTTTTAATGCAAAAATGCATTATGACTTTCTTGATGATCCCGTAAATGCACAGACTTAGGACTAAAAATATCGTCGCAACTTGATATATTATAACCAAAACTTAAATGCCTAAAAAGACAAAACTGTGGGAATGGTTAAGTGATCTGTAGCACAGCCATAATTTAGAGCAATTTAACAGGACGGCCACTCCTCATTTAATGACTACCTGTTTAATGGCTGCTCAGACTTCCAGCTAGTTCTCCTACATATAGAATCCCTTTCTTCAGTATGTGTGAGGCTCAGGAATTCCCTTTCTCAGTCTTCATGTCATTCCCCCCAATCGGCTTGTATTCACTACATGAACCACTCACACTAATGCAAAACTACATATTTTGTGTATAATTTTGTACTTTACTGTGTACCCACAGTAGTATTAAGAATAAATAAAAACAATTACACCAGATTTCTATTATTGTGTTATGGTGTATCTTAATCGCTTTCTGGAATTCATCTAATGTATTTTTTATATGAATGGAATTACATTATTCTAATGTGGTGTCTTAAGATATCTATTTAAAAATGCATACTCTGGGTTAGCAGGTGGTATGAAGATTAAAGGAGCTGGATCTCACATGCCAGCGGTGTAGTTTGAGTCCCAGACCCAGCAGCTTGAAAATCACACTGGGTGCATATGCTTGTGTGTGTGTGTGTGTGTCTGTGTGTATTTATTTATTTATTTATTTAAAAAATCCCAAGGGGAAACTGGAGGAGGAGACTGTGGCATGGCCATCCTCCTGGTGGGTGATTTCTCACTCTCCCTCTCACTGTCTCTTTCTCTGGAAATTGCACACAACCCTATGGCAAAAGCTAAAATAATAATTCTTTTAAAAAAAGTCTGATGGTGCCATGGCACACCATAAGACATCCAACTTTTTTTTTCTTTTTGGAGAGGTTTTTGCTATAGGGTGCGTGCACTCGCCAGAAAGACAAAGAAAGAGAGACGAAAGTGAGAAATCACCCCCCAGGGCAGATGGCCACTCCGTAATCCCTTCTCTTCCATTCTTCTCTCGAGATCTTGGGCACGCACGCACGCACACGCGCCCAGCTTGAGTTTAAGCCACCAGGTCCAGGACTCAAACTGCTGTCAACCACATTGGAGTCCAGTGACATAGCCATTATGTCAACTGCTGGTCCCACAAGACAACCAACTTTAAATTCCTAACTTACCATACCAATTTGTTTAACCACATAGTCATAGGAACTGACCTCAGTCACTAAGTGAGGAACAGTGCCATAATGTTTCAGGGAATGGAGCACAGAGGCCTCTGGTTTCAACCCACAGCTATACTCACCTCTACAGAGTAAGACATTTCTTCATTACAGTTGTCATTAATTTTCTCAAATAGTTCTTCACATAACTAGGGAAGAAAAATAAGAGAGACATGAATGGCATGAATCAGAGAAGTATTAAGTTATCCTTGAGTAATAAGTAAATTAGTGAGATCTCCTTTGTTTGTCTCAAAAAATAAGAATGTCATAAATGTCAAGGTATAATTGATGTTTTAAATTAAATAAAAGGAAAACTTTGTATACATAACCTTCTCAGACCAACCTTTTCTTCCTCAACAAAAGTACCTCAATGTTTTTTCCTTAGAGAAAGAATGGGAAATGTATCTTACAGAGGAGTTATGTTATCAACACAATTAATTTATGTGAATTCAACTCTTCATTCTATACTAGAGTAACTGTGGCCATACTACCAGTATTACTGTAGCAGTAAAACTACTATTAAACAGTATTTTGTATACATATATTACTCATGGTACATAAAATTTACCAGCATGGCCCAGCTTCTGCAGCATAGCACTAATGCAAGTGACCTCCAATGTCAGAAGCCATAGGTTTAGATCCTCAAACAACTTGAAAAACATGTAGCATATACACAGGCACTCAACATCCTGAGGTGCTGGAGGGCTGGAGAAGCAGGACTATGATATGACAAGATTTGTGAATAGTGTTTTTATTTCTCTCTCTTTTCTTCTCACATGCATGTGCTATCATAAAAATTTTACTATCGTTTATCATGTTACTGTATACATTATAAATTTACACACGTGTATAGAGAGAATTTATACTACTGAGAGAGGTAAATAAAGGTATTTGGGGGCTGGCTCTATGGCCTGGTGATTAAGGCAACTGGAGCCCACGTGGCCAACTCTGTGATTCAAGTTCCAGACCCAGTAGCTTGAGAAACATGCTGCAAACAGGTTTATGAATGCCAAAAATCCCAGAAGGGGAGAGAAAAGGAGGAGATGGGATTGTGGCACGATTATTCCCCATCAGGGGTGTTTTCTCCTCTCCTTCTGTTTCTCTTTTGTCAAGTACACGCCAGTAGATGGCATAATGGTTATGCCATATGGTTATGGAACCATTACTATTAGAATTCCAATAATAATGGACTCCCATGTAGTTGACCGCAATTCGAGCCCCGGACCAGCAGCTTGAAACTCATGCCAGGCACATGTGCATTCATGCCCAAAATCCCAAGAAGAGAATGGAGGAGAAGGGATTGCTGCATGGCCATCCCCACTAGGGGGTGATTTCTCACTTTCTCTCTCTCTATCTCTGTCTCTCCAGTGAGCACACACACCCTATAGCAAAAATCACTCTCCAAAAATTAATAAATAAAAAGGTAAAATTTTCCTTTTACAGCTGTCTTAAAACTCCCAAACTTGGACCAGAAGTTGGCATAATGGCTGTCGCTTAACTCCCAGGTAGTCGACCGCGGTTCGAATCCTGGACCCGGTGGCTTAAACTCACGCCGGGCGCATGTGCGTGCGTGCCCAAGATCCCAAGAGGAGAATGGAGAAGGTATTGCAGCATGGCCATCCCCCCTGTGGGGTGATTTCTCGCTTTCTATCTCTCTGTCTCTGTCTTTCTGGCAAGTGCACGTGCCCTATAGCGAAAACCTCTCAAAAATAAACAAACAAAAAAAACCTCCCAAACTTATATGAGATGGTGCTCTGTTCCTAAAAGAAAACAATAATGTTTCTAGATCAGGAAAACTGTCAAGATCATCCTCCCTATGCCTTGAATTTCTTATTTAAAATGTGATATTTTAATATATGTAATGAATTAAAGTCTTCATTTGCTATGTCATTAGTACTAAGGCAATCAAATACTAAGATGACAATAACAGTGTACACTTTGAAAAATGAACAACATGCTCATGATGCTCTAAAAGTCTAAATAGTATTTAAAACTTATTATAAATGGTAGTTTCTAAATAATACTCATCTTTTTAAGAAATCCATGCTTTTGTATTAAGACAAAACACTCAAAAATCCTACCAAACAAGAGGTATGTACATACATACATAAGTTTACAAGAACTCCAATAATAAACGAATTAACATTGAAGGGAGAGGAAGGAGAAACTAAGTATGGTAATGAAATAAGACAAATGTGACTATTTAGCATAACTTGCTATGATCTACAATTATTTTATCACAAAAGTACTGCACCATGGTGAAAGCAAAGACTCCAGAACGACTCTGCCTGCCTCTGACTTGAGCAAGTGATACTCGCTCTGTGCCTACTTCTCATCTGTGAAATGGAGATCACAAGGAACTTATTAGGGTCATATGAACAGGATCAGAGGAGTGAATATTATAAAGCATGTGGACCTGTGCTTTGCACATAATAAGTATTATGTAGTATCTTCTCCAACTAGTATAGTAAGTTTTGTTATCACTATGTACAAAGAACAATTCCCAATTACATGTCTTAATATACACACATATTTTTAGGGGAAAAAAATGTATGTTAGTATGTTATTTTTTTTTCTGAAAATGTCCTAATCTTTATTATTAAGCATTTTAATTATATAGCTGAATTTAAAATTACAGTTCAATAATTCATTAGTAAAAGGAGCTACCTTATATATTTTATTCTCATAATATGGATATGCTCTATAATAGGTTTACAAAAAAAAGCAAACTATAGTATTACTATTAATAAAATAAAATTCCTTCTAAATACCTTAACAAAACTTTTCTCCATTCCTAAGCAATAAAAAGATCAAAAGAAATAATACTAATTATTCTTAAAAAAAATAAAGGACTGCTCAAAGTTTAAAGTGATAGTATTAAATTAGTAAGATAAAATGGATGTATCGCTGAATAAAGTCACGAGAACAAAAAAATGGCCCATCCATGGTGGTGGACAGCTAATGCCACTACTTGAGAGGCTAGAGGCCACATGGAAGGCCCAGGTTCAGTTCTCAGACCAATCTGAAAATGTATCAAGCATGACTGGGTATAGCTGTGATCCTGGCTGGCTGGGACTCTGGAGTGGGAGGATTGTGACACAGAGAATCTGTTTAAAAAAAAAAAAAGAAAAGAAAGAGAAAAAAACAAAAACGGCTGGTAGGTGGCGTGGTAGTTAAGGGCGCTGGACTCCACATGGCCAACTGCAGTTCAAGTTCTGGACCTGGCACCTTGCTTTCTCACTTTCTCTCTCTCTCTCTGTCCCTCTCTGGTCAAATTAAAATAAATAAATAAATACAATAAATAAAGTTAAATAATGCTTTAAAAAAAATACCTATCTAGGGGCCAGCAAGTGGCAAAGTGACTGAGGAGCTGGACTCCCACAGGGCCAACTGCAATTTGAGTCCTGGACAAGAGTCCTGGACAGGGCCTTAAAACTCATGCTGGATACATATGAATGCCTGCCCAAAATCCTGAGAGGAAAATGGAGAATGGATTGCCTGTGGCCATCCCCCTGGGAGGTTTGACTTCTTGTTTTCTGTGTCTCCGGCAAGTACATGCACCCTATAGCAAAAACAAACAAAAACACAAAAGACAAAAAAAATGCCTATCTC